TAGCGACGTGAAAAGGACGAAAAGACAGTTGTCAGAAAAGCTGTCATCTCTGATGCGGTAGGTGCACAGCTTTTCCAACAGCAGGCCTTCATCCAATGGGATTACTTCAACGAATTTGTGGGAATTTATATTATCTCTTTCCAACAAACACAAATTTAAGACTTGGCAAATTAAATTTGGATTTTCTCTGAAAATTCACAAGCTTGAACAGAAGGCCATCTTCAAGGAAGAACATTGCTCAACTCAACAGAAGGACCTGATAGAGTAAAGAAGAATCTTTGTTGTATTTAGAGCTTTGTGTCTATGTACTTACATTGTAAATCTGTTCCTAATCTATAAAGGATTCAGATATTTGTTTTTGGTTTGTAAAAGTCTAAATCAGTTAAGGTTAACTGATTTAGTGGGCAACATTGTTTTGTTGCTTAGTCAAATTCTAAGTCATCTAGAATTAGGTGGTTTAGTGGGCGGTGTGGTATCCGCTTAGGCTCTTCAAGTAATAGGTAGATTACTTGATCGTGAGATTAATAACTTTTTCTCACATTGATTGTAACCGGGTTTCACTTTTGCTTGAGAAGATTAGTGAAGACGGTTGTAAATCCTGTGCAACAGGTCGTGGTTTTACTCCCTTGAGCAAGGAGGTTTCCACGTAAACTGCTTGTGTTGTGTTCTTCATATTGTTTAATCTTCTGCACTGTTTTTGCTGTGTCAAGGGACCTGGTCCATTGACTGGTAGTGGACGCACATATTCCATCACCATCTGACTGGCTTCCTTCAAAATTTCAAAAGGCTTTTACAGTTGCTTCAATCCAAGTGAAGCTAAGGTGTAACTAGCAAGAACTTGTGAATATAATGCATTGGAATACATGCAGGACAAAGAGAATTAATTTTATGGGACCGAGCTGTTAATAAGTTGGTTTTCAGTTCACAATCTCTTAGCGTGTCCACCAATTCTGAAGGTCCAAATTCCAAGAAGATTGTTGTCAAACTCTTGATCAAGTCAAAAACAGTTCAGATAAATAACGTAGCACGCAGGCTTGAATTATTGTGACTAGGTAACAAACCTAACACCACAAGTCAAATAACTGAAACCAACTAGAACCAAAAGGAACTTATGACAGCTGAGAAAGAAACAGAAAGAGAACCAATAAGTATGCAAAAAGCAGCACCATACTTGCTGTCTACAAAAGTGGCCCATCAAAAACCATGAGAGAGCTCCAAAAAGTCCTGATAGTACCAAATATGACCTTCTCCGGTATCCAAAGAGTGGGAAGGAATCACTATAAAAGGAAAACTAATGTCATGATAAATTAATTACTAGAAATAATTAGTTAGATGAATAACGATGAAATACGAACTGAATCTAACCTAATGAATCCATATAACGGTTTTACAAGCCATGGCAATGATGAGAAACCAGATATCACAGCTGTCTAGTTAGCCACAAATAATGTGTCAGTCATTGTACTCAATCCAAAGAAGAGGTACCACTGAAAGAAAATAAATTTGACGCCGTGCAGTTTCCATTTTAAAATGTCCTTTATCAACTGAAGTCGGAAATGCTGAGGGAAGATTGGTAAATTGGAAATATCACACTCAAAATCTTTACAGAAAACAATGAATCAATCTCTGAAAATGATATGTCTAGTTTCATCTAAATAAATGCACACAGGTTGATTCATACTGTCCAAACAACTCTATTTACTGATCTGAGAAGAAACAGATAAGAAAATGTTGAATGACCATTAATAAAAGCACCTCATACACATAACACTTCTAAAGAAGGAGAGGATAGCGTGGAGATTTTCCTTTAAATAAACTTGTAGTTCAAGCAACTGACTCTTAATGTATCTTTAGATTCAAAATCAATGTAAACGTTAAGGACAATATGATTTGTGTTCCAACTCAAATGAGCACTTCCGGATAAAATACAAGCTTGTGGAAGTTCAACCAACAACATAAAGAAGTGTTCCCCGAGATGATGGCATACCTCTGCAGTAGTCATCTTTCAAATAAAAGCTAACAGCAAGATCTGAAAGGCCTAAGACACCTTGAACAATATATACCATAGCAACTGCAATGTTGTCGGGGGTTAGTTCCACCCTGAAGCATCTGGCTGAGCTAATACAATTTTTTTCCTTGTAAGAGCCAGTTTTATCAGATGAACTAGAATCTTCAATGCTAGTGGTTGTCAGGAGATCACCATTCCCTGAAGATTGATCAGATAGGTTAATGTCATAAATAAATGAAACGTATGTCAACTTCTGTGAACATGGATGACCCCTTATCCACTTTCATGCCAATATGTGCGCATCCTAGTGGAAAATTCCTGTCATGGGAGTGTGGTATAGCCAATATCAAGAAAACTTTTAACCAGAATGTCTAGGTTATGCAAGGAAAAATCTGCTAAAATTACATTGAAAACCACACATATCACTTGAATATTCTAGATCCTTCTTTTAAATGTTTTAGTTATTAATTAAGTTGGTGATGAATTCTTAACAGATTCAATCAAACAACTAAGCCTTAATCCAAACTAGTTGTGATCCTCTAAATCCATTTTCCCTCCAATTACGAACACTATGAAAGAGTTATGATTGCTCTTCCACACATCACTCAGCACCTTTTAAGGCAGAGCTTTCACCTGCTTTGTAAAATATTCTCATGTGTCTCCTCAGTTTGACATGTTTAAAGCACCATAGAGAATCTTCTAGAGGTTCTTGTACATGTGAGGGATTGATTCTATATTACATCCACGAAATGATTGATGGAATCGTAACAATGAACAAGCATCTACTTGAAAATTGGAATTTGTAACCGTAAATGCAATAACTTTACTTTTCTATTTCAGCATCTACATACTTGTAAGAATAACTTACAAGAATTAACTTTAACCATATATCCTCTAACTTAGGATTGATGGAATCAAGCAACTGCGACAGTCAAGTTAAATGATATATATATAGGTGTGTGCATCGGTTGATTCGGTTCGATTTTATGTATTATCGATTTTTTATTTTTAAATATGTTAAAGCAATAACCAAACCAATAAGATATTTTTTTTATCGGTTTTCGGTTTATCAATTTCGCTCCTTAACGGTTTGATTTTTGATTTAACTAATAAGAAAATACTTATAAAACAAATATATAATTTTTTTAAAAAATTTGATTTGAAAACTCAATAATGTAACTTTACAAATGCTCATAAAGTAAAAACAATAATAACAAACATGAAAAGAACTAATACAAGCGTAAAACAATGAGAAATTAAGAGGAGTAGGGCTCTTATTTTAGATTTTAAACTTTTTTTTATAATGTGAAATTGTAAACTAAAAGTAAGTGTGAATTGAAGACCTAATAACTACTAAGGTATTGTGATTAATATATAATATTTGTACGCAAATTACTAGTCCAATATCTCAATATTAAAAATCAATAACCCAATAATTTATTTTATAAAACCATTAAAAAATCGTTAACCCAATAACTATATATATAAAAAACTTTTATCAATTTGATTTATTGCGCGCCACCCAAATATTGGATAATCAAAAGGCCCACCAAAATTGACCCCTTCTCTCACACTTTTTGATCATAAATTTTCCCTTTTGCAAAGTCTCCTCCCCCAAAATTCTCCAACAAATTTTGATATCTTTAATTTTTACTTTTACTAGAAAAATGGATGAAACAAGCAGCAAATCAGAAGGAAAAGAAATCGATGAAATAACTCTGCGGCCAATTGAACTGACAGATGTGGATGATTTCATGGAATGGGCAACAGATGAAAAAGTCAGTCAATTTTGCACTTGGGATACTTACACTTGTAAAGATGAAGCTCTAGATTACATCAACAATAATGCAATTCTCCATCCATGGTTGCGAGTTATTTGCACTAAAAACAGAGCAATTGGGGCAATTTCTGTGACACCAAATTCTGGGTATTTGGATAGTTGTAGAGCAGAGCTTGGTTATGTATTGGCTTACAAGTATTGGGGTAAAGGGATAGTCACAAAGGCAGTAAAAATTGTTGTATCAAATATATTTAAAGAATGGCCAGATCTTGAGAGGATTGAGGCTTTTGTGGATGTAGACAATAAAGGATCGCAAAGGGTGTTGGAAAAAGCTGGATTCTTGAAAGAAGGTGTTCTAAGAAAGTTCAGAACTATAAAGGGGAGATCAAGAGATATGTTCATATTTAGCATTCTATCTGCAGATGCTCTTCAAGACCACTACAACTACCTTCGATTGTTGTGTTCATAATATATCTATTAATAAAATTATATTGTATTATAATCAAAAGTAAAAATGTCTTTAAACTCGTATTAAAACCTTCACTTTTAAATAATAAAGATGTTTATTAATCTAAGCATGTAACTGATTTTTCATTTATCCGTTTGTTCAAACAATATGTGAGTGTACTTTGTGCTCATATAACATGGAGTATTTACCTTAAAGACTTCATTCCCGGAGAAACCTAGATATGCCTTTGAACTAGAGAAAAATGACAAAAATAGATGGTTTCTTAACTATATTTTAACGGATTTAGTCATTTAATTATTTTAAAACTTATCAATTTTGATCTTGAATCATACACTTATCGATTTTAGTTTCTTAACTATAAACTTATCGATTTTAGTTCTTCAAGTATTTAAAAACTTATCACATTTGGTCTTTCTCCACTTTTTAATACAAATGACTTAGGTTTATATAAATGAAAATCTTCGTGAAATAAGATCTTTAACCTATTTTTTTTTTAATGAAATTGTTTCTCTATCCCAATCTTTCTTTCTTCAAACTATTATTATGAAAAGAATAATAACGTCAGCAATTCAAAATAAAATTAGTGAAGAAAGAAGATATAGTCCTAATTTTATTCAATCGAGGATAAAATTAAGCATAAATTGTTGTAAATGACTCACACTTGAATATGCTAATCAGTGCGGATTTTATTAAATTTACTCAAATTTTCTTATGTAAAATAAAATAAATAATAAAATTGATATATTTAAAAAAAATTGCAAATCTATAAACCTAAACTATTTGTATTAAAAAAATGAATAAAGATCAAACCTGATAAGTTTTGAATATTTAAAGGATTAGAATTGATAAGTTTATAGCTAATTAAATGTAGAGTTTAAGGGATAAAAAATGATAAGTTTTTTGAATAGTTAAAAGACTAAATTAGTTTAGTGTATATTTAAGGAACCATTTTATACCTACTCCTATAGTTAAGAGACTATTTATGTCATTTTCTTCCCTAAAGTTTGAACTACTTCATTGTATCTTTCTTTAATAATAATTGTTCTTGAAAAGTATAAATACTTCAATTATAAAGTGATAGATACAAATAGACTAAATACTTAATAAAAATAAATTATATCTTAAAATATAAATGAAAATAATATAATCAAAATCCTTCTGAAGTAATACAAGTTTTATTAAGAATTCGCCATTTGAAGAGATTGACAAAAATAGGGCAAGCCATTTGAAAATAAATTATATCTTAAAATATAAATGAAGACAATATAATCAATATGCTTGCAAATTCAGTCATACCAATATTTGGATATTTAATACATGTACTTCCTTTGAAAATTAATCATATTTCTATAAAATAGTGCGGCAAATAAGACGCTTCCTCGGGAGTAACTTTATCTGTTTGAACATGCGATATGAAATCATGATATGAAATTAAATTAAATATAAAATTAATGTTTTGTTGGGACATGTAATTTAAATTTCTTAAGTTGTATTTTTTCCTTATTATGAAAACTTTAACAAATTGTGAAAAATATCAAAATTTTCTCAATTTTCATACAATCTTACCAAATGATCAAGTCATAATTCATAAAGACAATATCAAAATATCAAAGGGCGACAACATTGATAAATCATATATTCATATTCCTTTTATAAATAAATATTTGTAATTATAAACTTTCAAATACGAATAATTTTGTAAAAATCCATTACTCAGTAATTGTAACACCTCAAACTTTGAGGCTAAAATTTGAACTGTTCTACGTATGTAGCTAGATTCAAATCCAATGAATTTGGATTGTATCTAGGTATAAAGGCCAAGTCTAAAGTGTGGGAAATGGGTCGGACGTGCATTAATGTTTTTAGCACAAAATCAAATTAATTGTTTTCCTACCACTAAAGTCTTTCATATGAGCTCATATAGGGGTCAATTCCAAACAAAGTGTATCAAATTGTGATATTTAAGTATTCAGTATCTTGTGTTTAATAGGTACATGTTCTAAATAATTGAGGTGTTTAATAGGTACAAGTCCTAGTTAAGGTGTCTAAATGAATTATACAGACAACTTTAAGGAGCTATCGATGACTTAAGCCTAAATAGATTTGTATTGTTGATTAGGGCAATTCCTTTATGTGGCCCTAATAAAGGCTTATTATGGATAGGGGTGTACATTTGGTTTTTCGGTTTCGTTTTATATTATTTGGTTTGAGTTTTTGATTTTTTTTTAAGAAGTGCAATCCAATCCGAACCAAAATAAATTTGGTTTAATTTGGTTTTTCTTTTTTTGATTTGGATTTTTTTCGATTTGGTTAATCGATTATATCAATAATTAAAAATATAACAAAATTATATTTGCAATTTAAAAAAAATATATCTAGGAAAAAATGTAAGTGTGATAACTCTTAATACGTTAACGTTTTATCCAATAAAGAAATTGAGTAATTCAACTCTGCAACAGTAAATTGTTAATTATAAAAAGAATTTAATCCATTCACTATCCATTTTTCGATAACCCAATATTAATAAGTTAATAAACTAATTTTATGATTGACTTGTCGATTACGATTTAATTTTATATTTTTAGTATCTCACCTTGTTTAGAGCTTGTTTGACGTTACTACTAAAAAATTATTTTTAGAAATACCTTTTAAAAATAACTTTCAGCGTTTGAAAAAAAAGAAGAGTAATTTGCTTTTGATTTTGATAAGTAGATTGTATTAAACTAATTTTTAATAGCAAACTAATGTTTGGTATGATGAGAAATATTTTTCATCGAAAATGTTTTTCTGGAAAATAAGTAAATATTTTACTTATTTTCTCATGTTTGGTTGGTGAGTAGAAAATATTTTTCGAAAAAGATTTTTTGGTGTTTGATTTATGAAGGAAAAACAATTTTGAGAAATATCTTTTATATTTATTAGAGTAGAAAATAATTTTCAAAATAAAAAATGTTTTCTAAAAACAAAGTTAATTTTTTTAGGGGTGGGTAAGGGTGAAAAAAAATTCGAAACTGAAAATATTTTTTAAAAATAAATTTAAATTTTTTTTGGGGGGGAGGGGAGGGGGAGGTCAAGGGTAGGGAGGAAAAAAAAATAATTTCGAAGTTGAAAATATCTTTTAAAAACAAATTCAATTTTTTTTTTTTGGGGGGGGGGGGGGGGGAGGGGTCGTCGGTAGGGGCAAGGTGAAAAATTTGAAATTGAAATATTTTTAAAAATAACTTAATTTTTTGGAGGGGGTTGGGGGGTCATGGGTAGGGAGGGGCGGGTAGGGTGAAAAAAATAAAAATCTGAAATTGAAAATATTTTTTAAAAATAACTTAATTTTTTTTCGAAGAGGAAGGGGGCGATTTGGGGGGTGGGGGATCGTGGGTAGCGGTGGAGTGGGGTGAAAAATAAAATTTTGAAATTGAAAATATTTTAATTTTTTTTAAAAAAAATATATTTTATCAACAAGTAATTTATAATTTCAAATTGGAGAAAAGTTTTGAAAAATATTTTTTCGAAAACTTGAACCAAGCACCTAAGAAGGAAAAAAAATTTGAGTTTCTTTTTTCGGCTCCAGTGAGAACGCCAACTTGTTCCATACAGTAGTCTCTATGAACTACTAGTCCAACATACTCTAATCCCCTTAATTTCAGTGACAATTTTCAATCCCTAATCGATCTTCCATGGACCCCCTCACACTCCTCCGTGAGTACACCATACGCAACGACCTCCACAAGATTGTTCGCATCGGCGACGACTACCGATTCGGCAATGACTACACTTTCCCTTGCACAATCGAAACCGCTTATCGCTCCAAACATGTTCAAGCTAATCGGTACACTCTCGAAACCCTAATCAACTTCATCACCAATCACCACCTTAAACACACTGAATACATTCAGCAATCTCGTTCTCTTCGTATTCCGGCGGTTACCCTACCTGACCGTAAACCCCTTCTCGATTATCTCACCGGAAAGACTGCATCTTCAGATTCTATTGAATTCCTCAAATTCCCTCAGTCGAATGATACTTCAGTTCCTGTTTCTGTTTCAGCTGGTGTTACGGGCAATGAGGAGAATGTGATGAGTGATGTTAGGGTTTTGGAAAATCAAAACCCTATTGAGCTGATTAAAGCTGCTGAGAAGCCTTTGAAGGATAGAGAGGCGATTTTGTTTTGTAAGAACCGGGATTTCTATAGTGTTTTTACGGCTGCGTTGCGTAGAGATGAGGAGCGGCACCGGGCGGAATCCTTGCAGAGAAAAGATGGGTTGGTTGCTAAGAATCGGATAGATAGGGGGTATGGAGGTGGTGATGAAATAGGATATGATGGAGGGCCCAAGGCGAAAATGCATTTGAAGGGGAGTAAGATAGGGGAGGGTGTTCCCATTATTTTGGTTCCCAGTGCCTTTTCGACTTTGATCACCATCTATAATGTGAAGGACTTTTTGGAGGATGGGGTGTTTATACCAACTGATGTGAAACTGAAGCAGATGAAGGGGTCAAAACCGGACTGTATAACAGTACAAAAGAAGTTTAGTAGGGATAGGGTAGTTACAGCATATGAGGTTAGAGATAAGCCTTCTGCCTTGAAGCCGGAAGATTGGGACCGTGTGGTGGCAGTTTTTGTGTTGGGGAAAGACTGGCAGTTCAAAGATTGGCCTTTTAAGGATCATGTTGAGACCTTTAACAGGGGTAAGTTCTGAATGATTATGTGCAGCTGGATTTTGTCATATTGTTTGTCAAATGATGATAGCCTCTTGTAATACTAGTTACTAAAAGGATTGGAGTAATCTTGTTCGTTCTTAGCTAGAAAAAGTAGTGATCTTTTGGGTCAATTTTCACTTGGAACCTGAAATTAGATTTTCTCATTTTTGCTGCAGTTGTAGGATTTTTTTTGCGTTTTGAGGATGACAGTGTGGAGTCAGCGAAGACCGTGAAGCAATGGAATGTCAAGATTATCTCGGTAACGATTGTGGATTTAGCTCTCATCTTTAAAATCTGTAAAACTACAATTTTTGTGCAGATCACGACAATTTGCTTTTAATTCTATATGATTATTATGTCTTATCAATTGTATTTTGCTAATGGGATCTGCAGATTAGTAAGAACAAACGCCACCAGGACAGAGCTGCAGCACTTGAGGTGTGGGAGAAACTTGAAGAATTTATGCGGTCACGGTCTCATTGATTCATGCTGAGTCTCTAGGTAGACAACTTGCTACAAGTTGTATTTCCCTTTGTGACCGTCTTTTTGGTTGTAACAATTATTACCCTGATTTCTCATACTTGAGAATCTCTTTTTTTCTTAATAAAGTAAATATCTTCTCTAAATAGCATCTAAAGGATGCAGCACTTTTCAAACTTGATTAGCCACGTGCTTAGCATTTTTCCTTCTCCTTAATTTTGCTGTTTATTCGGCTGGTTGATGGTGTCATGCAGGAGGTATTTGGCTGTAGAATGTGATGAAACTCTTGTGTAGTTATGCTGATTTTTGGATAGCTGATAATTTAAAGCTGTCTGAAACTTGATACTTGGTAGTTTGTCTCGCAATCATTTCCATATACCAGGAATAACTTTCTGATTTTTGGTGATCCAACTTAACCTTGTGCCCCGTGCTGAACCCAGTCAGGTCCAAAGATACCTTTACCCTTGTCACCTGGACTAATTCTCATCTCCTTGTTAAGGGAGATAGATACAGGAGTTACTTTTTTAAATGGAGTAGTATGGATATAGATACAGGATTTACTTTTTTAAATGGAGTAGTATGGATATAGATAATTCACCCTTACTAGTTTGGGGAGTTAGAGGTTGTAGTATTTTTGGCATGTAAAAGAGTTATCTCATGGGAACATCTTTTTGATTTATTGGTACATCACGTCCAACATCTTTAATGAATTAGAGTTTGTTTAAAGATTTATTTATCTTGGACACCACTGACAGGGAGTGTGCTGCCAATGAGGCCTTAGCCTAGGTTTTTCTTTTTTTTGTTTAAGTCATGAAAATAACACATTTTATGTTCAAATTTGTAGAAATGCGTGTGTTTGTGTTTATATATACTTTTCCCCCCCTTTTTTTCGTAACTGGACGTTGACATTCTATCGCTTGAATTTGACTTGGTTCATGTAAGTTCCACCCATTGTTGGTATGAGTAGTGCTGTTTTTGAATTTGACTAGGTTCATGTAGGTTCCACAATTTTCCAACATCTGTTAAATATGTCATTTACAGGGCAAGAAGAAACTTGCTTTTCGACTTCTTTTTTATTTAAATTTTTTGGGAAGGAAACAAAGACACGTTTATACATCAGAATGTAAATCCTGTTGTTGGTATGAGTAGTGCTGTTGTTGAATTTGACTAGTTTCATGTAGGTTCAATTCTCCAACGTCTGTTAAATATGTCATTTACAGGGCATGAAGAAACTTGTTTTTCGACTTATTTTTCATTTGAAATTTTTTTGGGAAGGAAACATAGACACGTTTGTAAATCGGAATGTAATCCCTGTTGTTGCTTAATATTTAGTAAATGCACAAAGAAGGATTAGAGAGTCCTTTACATAGATAATGGGTCAGAGCAATGGTTACAAGGGATATAGGAATTATCAAATTTGATTTTCCCTTTTCATTTCTCCCTCCATTTACGAAAGAGATTGATAATGTATTAGGGACATCTTTTCACCTGTGTTCACCCTTCTACGTAGAGTTGAAGTCCTGTGCTTCATAGAACTGTGTGCTTCACACTATGATGCACAAAGGAGTTTGGTTTTTGAGTTTTGAAAAAGATTATTGGGTTCTTGATAAATTTTCGAATATTACATGAAATTTCAACACAAATACATTGGTCTAAGCCAAACCTATCGGGTTTGTTGAACCTGCAAAAGGAACTGTCAGCTTAGCCCTGGCGATGCACAAAGTAATCCCAGTACAAAGCGGTCAGTTCTTTCAATCTCAACTTTGAGGAGTTGGATTAATGTCTTTTTGTGTATAAGATGCTCAAATTCGTTACTTTACTTGCAGTTTGGTCATTATAGTGCTAAATTCATATATGTTTTTTTTTTTGGAGAAAGAATATGTTAAGTATTTTTTAATGTTGTGAATTGTGCATTGCACTTACTCAAGCCTCGTAGGTGTTGGCACTATTTGTGCTTTTCACTTTAGAAAGTGCTGCTTTTACCTTTGTTAGTCAATCTCAAGCATAACAAAAATGCTTGCATCGTGTCATGTTGGTGCTACTTCCAGTGGCAAGGAGCGTGGGTAGTGTTAAAAAATGGCATAGTTTATTCTGTTGTAGGAGTGTGGGACACAGCCTTACATAGGAAGGTAGAGAGGTCGAATATTAGGGTAGAAGGGTAGGATGCAACTGGTTGTTGTAGTACTTTTATGTGGGAGAGGTAGGGTTAGTCTTATTCTTCACCTTTTTTTAGTAGTATTCTATCTTGTTTTGAATATTTGCTTTTGCTGGTTGCTTCTTTGCTTTGTTCATCTTGCTATTTTGTTGTTGATTTTCTTTTCAATCTTGCTTTAGTTACATTTCTTGAGTCGAGGGTCTACCAGAAATAACCTCTCTCTCCCCCACAATGATCTTTGTGGTAAGGGTATGTGTACATTTTACCCACTCCCGACCGGACTTTGTTAGATTACTCTTGGTATCTTATTGTTGTTTGAGATTGGTACATGCATTTTTGTGTCTTTTTCCTATATTCAAGAATGATTCCGTGTTAGCTGTAGCATAATTATTTTCCTCATTTTCCTTTTGTACAACAATTTCATAGTCAAGTCAACTATATTTTGTAAGACTTGCATGTTTCAAGTAACATGATCTGTTTCTCTGTGTTGCACCAGGTGAAACTAGATGACAATATCTTACAAAACTGGACAGCTAAGAGGCTCGACAAAATCCAAATGTACCCTGATAAGCTTGTCAATGTCATCAATAGATAGAAATACAGCGCCCCTAAGATGAATTTCGTCCTTTTATAGGTTCTACAAGGTCTTCTATTGTGGCATACCACTTGTTTAGAGATTGTGAATTCTATGTAAATCCTTTCTTGTAAGTCAACCAATTTAATTTATTACGTAGCTTCTTTGGACGTGGCTCATTTTTATTTTATTTCAATCTTTTGTGTGTTTGCAAATCGTTTTCTTGATAGCATGGCTCAAACAGCTGATAGCTACACTGTCTGTTTTAACTCTAATTTACAACATGAATGTGAATGCAGAGCAAACTAGCAATAGTGATTGACGAAGTACGATACAATGGCCAATCAGGCTTCGGTGGAAAACTGACTGCTGAAATGAGCAAATGCTATGAAAAGTAATAGTACATTTTCATGACAGAGCAAACTAGCTAGTCAAAATACAATGGACTGTTAGGTGATGTTGATTATTGAAGCATAAGAAGCAATCAAGAGAAAGAAAAAGGAAAAAGGAGCAGCCATATTGGTTGAAGTTGCATCATTGGGACCTCCTTGTGATGCAGATCCACGTCCTGTCACAGTTGAAGCCATTATATACTAAATCACTTCCTGTTAACAAGCTTTTTATGTGGAGATTTTAGAGTGAATATTCTCTTACCGTTGCAGTTGCTAGCAGGTGGAGTCTGAACTTTGCAAGCGGTAGTGAGGGCCGATAACCGAGTCTGGTTAATGTTGAGTCCAAGGTCTTTGAGAACCTGGCACAAGCACTCTGACTTTTCATCAACCACCGTGCTAAGCTGCGTGCAGCAACCTGAGAATTGTGGTGAGGTGCTGTCCGCGTAGTAGTTCAGGCAAGGTGACATGCTGACCCACACGTTTGTGCAGTCATCGCTTTCTTGAGCAATTACTCCAGTCCAGATCACCGCGAACACAATCAAGGCAAGACTCATTTCGTACCTATGATCAGCCATCTTTTTGTAAAAATCAATCCCAGTGAAATGAGGAGAAAGAAAAAGAGATTCTGATAGTAAAGTTTGGTCACATACTAATAATCTTGTTAGATGACTAGCTGATTATATTTTGGAAAAAGGATATGGAAGACTAGAAAACAAATTATATGACAGATTAGCATTGATAAGGATTTGACATATTTTACAGATATAGGAATTAGGTAGGAATTGGTATAGTGGTCAGTTATATGGGTGACCAGTTGATGTGATCTGTTTGGTGTTAAGTCGTGTGTCGTAACAGAGGAATCTTTTCAAGACGAAGAATTTGAACAGCTCGAAATGAATTGAGTTAATAAGTAGTCATAATCATGATTCATGATACTATTCAAAAATTACTCAGGCTAAAGCCTAAAATGAGCTAAAAAGCGAATCATAATCATACGTTCACTTCTTACTAAGTTTTAATTTCGTCAATTCTTTCTTTTAGTATGATTTTTAAGTACCTAATAATTCTTTTGTTACGATTATGTATAACATATCAAAATAATAATATTAATTTTGAAAAGTTAGAATTCAAGAGAACGTTATGGTTAAGCTATATCCAATTACAAATAGTAATAGTGCCAAATAAATTCGAACTTTTGGAGTTCATTGCTAGGACAGTACAGAAATGAAGGAGAACAGTACACAAGTAATTATTACTAATATAAATCACCCCACAACATAATTATCATAACATGACATTACATTAAAATGTATTGCTAATTTATGTAACAAACTTCTTTAGAACTCCTAGATGAGAACTCAGCAACGTACTGCTACTCCCAGTTCTCCTCGAGCCCTGCTCAATCCATCCATAAACATAGAACATGTCATAAATAATCGATAATCAACACAAAACCATGTCTTCAATTCAATTTAAGTGTTCTTAGTCTGACTAGGCACGATACGTGGTGTGTTTGTTCATGACTTACCTGGCATTGGAGGATCCGCAGTCTCGTCCGAAAATGAACCCTCTGGCGAGCCTACTAGAGAGACCCTTGAGATTGGAGACATTGCCGGTTCATTACCATCTATCAAGTATTATTAGCACAAGTTTGAAATTAGTATCAGAGAAAAGTGTATAAACGAAAATCTGATAAATTAATGCTACTAATAACTAATCAGTATATGAAAATGACTCTTTTTTAATTTGTTTGTCTGATTTTTTATTTGAAATCAAATTTAAGAAAATAAATACAGTACAACTTTGAATCTTATTTTCTTAAACCACTATAACAAAAACAATTTTTAGCGGCAAAAATAGACACATTAATAAAGAGTGCTAAAGTTTTTACCTGCATTAGTTAAGTGCCATTAGATTCAATGTCGCTAAAGTCTTAACGAACATTATACAAAGAGTGCTAATTGCAGCTAAAAATACACATTCAGCGGCAATTGCTAATTAATTGCCGCTAGAGTTCATTTTTGATGTAGTGAGCTAGTACTAGAAATGCACCAAAATGTCCTGTTAATTAATTACAAGGTACTTACCATCATAACATCTACTAACAGGAGGAGTTTTAAGGTTGCATGCAGCAGGTAATGCAAGTGCAAGAGTTTGATTAATTTGAATTCCTAACGACGAACCACCTCCATTAGCAACGGTGCAAAGACACCTTGGCTGCGATTGCAGCACCCTTGAGAGGGCGGAGCAGCAAGAGCTCGACGGTGGTGTTCTTGGTGTTGATCCAGTGACATAGCTAAGACATGAATACATGCTTAAAAATGCATTCATGCAGTTAGATTGAGCCATTGCTCCTCTTGAAACCATGTAGTTATTCCCTATTACTAATATTGCAACTAAAGTCGTGCGAATTTTGACATTCAATCCCATTTTTGACATAGTTATAATTTTAATTTATGAAGTCATGTGGGGGTTGGAGATGTATATATATATACACGTTCTTTTGTGGTGATTTGGTTACTTGTGGATGACTTTTTTTTCATTTTTAAATTGCAGAAAGGGAATATGTAGGTTAACTAATAAGGGTTCGTGATTAGGTAAGATTTGTAATAACGTATCATTGTATACACTTGTGAAGTTGAACTATAAAAAGAAATAGAATAAATTTGCCTCCCAATTGTATTTTAATTACATATAATACAAATTTTAATGATGAATAATACATTTATCACACATTTTAATACACTTATAATATAATGTGACAACTTTTTACCAAACAAACAATTATAATTCATATATGCATACATAATTCACTTTTAATAAATATTACAGATTTAACAAAACATTGATATAAATGGTAATAAACAAAAAGTATTGCTAAAATCAGTAATTATTTTTTAAAATGTATTAATTTATGTAATTTTTCCTAATTTTTTTTTGGTTTCCCACATGGTGTCCAGTACCCACAATGGAGCCCCATTAAATCTGAATTCGGGCAAGAAAACAACGAGGGTAAAATGCTCCCCAACAATGTGGTGGAGTCGTAAGTAAATAGTTATAGTGGCAACAATTGAGCCGTAGCTAGTACTTTCATAACTAAAGGTTATTTGTGGCGACACTAAAAATATTTTTATAAAAAAATCTTGGCCAAGTCGGTGCTAAAATGAAAGTTTTAGTAGCAACCTAGTCGTCAAAAGCACCTAAGACAATTAGTGGCAGCTATGATTTCGCGGCTAAAAAGTAATATTTGTAGCGATTGTTGTTGCCACAAACTAAGAACTATCCGCAGCAACTTTCATATCGCTACTGAAAACAACCTTTGGTGGCGAAAGATATTGCCACAAAAACTAGTATATCATTGTGGCAAATTTCACTTTGTTACTAAAGAACAACTTTTAGCAACAACAATAGCCTCTGCAAAAACTATTATACAAACCTTTTTTTTAGTTGACAAATTGTCACCATTAAATCACATTTACACAAGGAAAAATTACTAAAATACACGTTTTATGTTTTCAATATCCGCTTCTATATCAAAAAATTTCTAACATACCTTATTTTTGTATTGTATTTGAGTCAGTATTTAATGTATTCGAACTACATATTATCTATCTGGTTCATTTAATAATGTATCAGATCTAGTTTTTTTAATTTATCCGAGCTACATATTATGTATTTAAACTAATTTTTAATGTATTCGAGCTACATATTATGTATCCGGTTTATATTATAATGTATCCGAGATACTCTTTAATGTATCCGAACTACATATTATGTATCGAGTTTGTGTTACTTTTTAAGGAATTAATGTATTTGCAAACTAAAGAAGAATAAATTGTAATCTCATATCAAAACTACATGATTCATAAAATTTATCATTTTATTTAACTACCAAATGATCAAAGTAATACTAGTAAAATTTTCAGTACAACCTAATTCTTTAAAATTAGAGTAATATATAGCTATGAAAAAGCATCCAGTACTATTTTACAAGCTGCAAAAATATTTTCAACCTAGACATTGTTAGAACTTCAATTACCAGAAAGTCAATTGCATACTACATACTACTTAAGTGGCATTGAATGCATATACATACAATTAAAAAAACGCCCATTGAACGCCTTCAAGCTCTTCCTTAGTCAAACAAAGTGTTAGGATCGAATCCACACACACTTGATGAATGAAGAACACAAAAACTTTCTCGAGAGAGATGAGAGATCTAGAGAGAGAAAGAGAGAAACCAATTGTTCGTGGTAACACCCCGTGGGTAAACTTCTACAGCAGTGAGATATATATTAATTATTCAGAGTATGAACAGTTACAAAATAAATGGAGAATGAACAGTACAACCTAAAATTTGGGTCAGGACGCTGCCCCGAACCCTCCTTCGAATGGGGGGCGGGAGCCCCCATAACCCCCGGCAACCTCACCGGGGAGGTTGAACAACGTAAACATTAATATATGACAGTATATCAAATATTATATTGAAGCTACTTGTAAAAGCTTCCTATTGATGAGAAGTGCAGATCGATCAAAGATGACATTATTCCGAGAGTGAATTTGTCAATCAGAGATAAAATGTAGTTTGAATTTATTGAATCTTAACTCTTGCAACAGGGCAGAACTTGTTATCCAACTTCATAAAGTTTCAAATAGAGTACTCTTTTATCTTGGACAGATAATCAACTAGATCACCAACATATCGAAGAAAACATTTCTAAACTATAAATCTTAATTTGATTCTCTTGTTTAGGATTATAAGACACTACTGAATGATTTACCATTATTATCATTTTTTTCTGTATACGTTCTAACATTACCGTTTAGGGAAGGCAATATGGTGGCTGAAAAGTTAGCTAATTAGTTGTTTCCCTAATCAAGTTAGAACGAATAATCAAGACGGACTTCCATATCGTAGAATCAGATATGTCAAGCGACGATTATTTCTATGTTTGATTATATGAAACCGGAGTTTGTAGCATTAATTATCTATCCAGATCAGCTCGCTTATAATTGAAGAAAATTCATTAGAACAAGAATAAGACTAGATTCCTGTTCAGTCAACTACTTATTAAATTTGTAATCTGAGTATAGATTACATAAATCTAATGATGCAAACTATAATTATTCTCTTAGAGACATTCCACAATTTCTCATTTCTAATTAAGTATAAACCCTTCTTCTCTGTTCTCTCTTTCTAGAGACCAAAATCGAGGTGAGTTTTCCTTCGTATCTATTTTATTTGATCTGCGTTTTTTTTAGTTTTCTCAACTCATTTGTGATTGTGTGTTTTCTTTTCTTATATATGTGTATGGTTTGATTTTAAGAGCAACTTCTGAAAGCTTCTGTAAAATTTGGCCTAATTTTGATGTAGACTTGATTTTCAATATTTTTTGCGGACAAGAGGGACTTGCTCGTGTGACAAACATTCCTGAATTTCAATCCTATGGTTTTGAGTTTGAGTGAGCAAAATGATGTGTGTGAGCACCTGATTTTCTGACCTGGAACCTTGCAATAGTTCAGAACAATTGATTATTAGGCTTATCTATCTATACTTTCGGGGTGTCCCAAAAAGTGGATGTATATTTCAGTAACATCTCTAAGTATCAAAAAGGAGAAATTACATTGAAAAACCATTTAGATGTGTTCAGTGTGAAGGAAGATGTTTTCGGTTATTTATTTTCTTGTTTTTGGTATATAAGAAAAAAATATAATTGTTCTGGAAAGCATTTCTATATATGAGAGGTAGGGGCGGGGGTGGTGGAGATGGGGGCTATAGGGTGTGACGGTAGGGGGTGGGGGTTGGATGAGGAGAATACAATCAATGTAGAATGTCGCTTGTGAAACTTGTTCTAAGTTTGATTAAGGAAGTCGTTTTACTCATTTTGAAGCAAAGTTTTGCAAACAAATTGACCAACCGTTTGTGCTAACTAATGATTCTTTCATAACAATGTCGAATACATGAATAATCTATAAATGCAACATTGGCATGCTTACTATAAGATTATTTTACTTTAAAAGGTTATCTGTACCTATTACGTATTGCCTGATCAGCTGAATATTAAACGTTGGAAGCAATACTGGCTGTGTATCGTGTATGCCTTGTACACTGTCCAAATGAAAATTTGCTGCTTGTTGGTCTAGTTCTCATCATTTTCATTTCACTATCAGATTGTTTGCGTAAAAGGGATTCAGCTTAAGTGTCAAGTGTTTGTGATAATTAATTCATTCATGTTTACTTTCTCCATGAATATTAAAATTTTGCAGTTGTACAATAACTGCAGGTTCTTGTTCAAATTCCTCTCGATTACTCATGGCCACAATTGGTTATAACTCGGATGATGAATACTCAACTATTACTGATAAAGGAGACATCGGATTTGTCGACTTTGACAAATATAAATCAGCTTATAGCTACAATCCAGACGAAGAGAGTGATATAGTTGTAATATCTGTTCCATTTCCGCTGATAGAGGGAAAACCTAAATCAGGCTTTGTTGGGGAAACTGTTGTTGATTCAATCACAATAGAGAATACTACCAATGAAACCGTGGAGCTGTGGTCAATTAAGATCTATGACTCGAAACCGGAGGATTCATTCACGCTATCTCTGATGAAACCTCCAACTGCTTGTTCAGACTTGCAATATGTTGAAGAATTCATGGAGTCCTTTAGCTTAGAGGATAGAATGTTACAACCAGGTCGGCCATTAACTGTATGGCTGACTTGTAAACCGAAAGAAATTGGATTGCACACATCAGCTGTGCATTTCAATGTGGGCGATGACAACATAGAAAGGTTAGTTTTTGTCTTAGCTGAGGACAACGTTTCCCAGTCCCTGGCTTCGAGTAGGCCATTCCACAGAAACAGAAAGAAGAAAGCGCCAGCAGTAGATGCTGGATTCGTTGGGGGTTCTCGTCCTACGAGGGATTCATGTAGTATATTCAGACACAAACTTCCGTCATATTCAATTCCACGGGATGTAAGGGAAATGATGGAGAAGAGAAAATTTCCTGATGTTATCGGGGAAGGTTTAAGCAGAGACAATTATGTTGCCTATTTTAGAACTTTACTATCAATTGAAGAAATCAAGATGGAGGTTTGTGTACAGATTTTAATTTAACCAAGACTTGATTTTGGGTAGTACTAATATCTTATAGTTTCTTGCATCAGGAAGACATGAGGGACTACGATATGCAGTTCGTCACCATGAAGCATCGGGGACAACACTTTTTGTCCCTTCATGTCCCAGGGCTAGCTGAGAGGAGACCATCACTTGTTGTTGGAGATCATATCTTTGCAAAGCTAGCTACCGCATATGCTAGTGAGATCATTACCCCTTACCAGGTGTGTTCACATTTTGGAAATGATAGAGAAGAAACAAGGAAAGTAGTTATCTTAATTCAATAAACTTTCTTTTTCTTATAAGGAATCTTCTGTACTTCTTTTTCTTATTTAAAGATTCTTCGGATTTAATAAGGTTTTCTCAGTTGCGGTGTTGGCTCTGCTAATGGGTTGTGAACCTGGTTCACTTCGTCATGTCATCAATTATCTTTTCTGTTTTAAAGTTTATTTTCATCTACTTTACTTGAAAGGTTTGAACAATTGTTATTTCTTGCTGCTATTTTTTAGGTTGC